ATGATCAGCTGTTGACTGATCTCTTTCCTTCAGCTCATAATGAATCTAATCACTAATTATGTGAAGAAACCTGAAGCCCCGCCCCCTCCTACTGAAGCCCCACCCCTTAAGACTGCAGCTGAACTCAACCTGGTTCTTCATGCACTCAGTTTAAAGGGACTTCCTGCTTGTTTGCCAGTGAGGTAGCAGCTGGTCAGAGCACTTCCTGTTCAGCCAGAAGCCACTTCCTGTTCAGCCAGAAGCCACTTCCTGGATCACAAAGACTCTTCAGAGGCAGAAAATATGTTTTAAAGTTTCAACAACAGAAGATCAGATGATTAAATGTCCTCCATCCAGTGGAGGACAAAGTACTCAACTCTAGTACTTGAGTAAAAGTATTGATACTCAGGGTCAAATCTACTCAAGTTAAAGTACTGAAGTACTTACTTTTGAAAATACTCAAGTATTCAAAAGCACAAATTACGTTTCTAATATCAGTACATCGCTGTGTTGTTTTCAGAGTGAGTTTGAAGCTCAGAACCACCTGAAGTACTGACAGGTAGAACTACAGTAATCTGCACCACCTGAAGTACTGACAGGTAGAACTACAGTAATCTGCACCACCTGAAGTACTGACAGGTAGAACTACAGTAATCTGCACCACCTGAAGTACTGACAGGTAGAACCACAGTAATCTGAGGTGAGTTCTTAAATACACAAACGTAGTTTATCTGCAGTGAACCCAGAAATGTTTAAATTGATACAAACTATTTTTCAGAGCTAAAACCTGAAACATGGAGCTGAGCTGTGATCATGGCTGGTTTCTGTCTTCACTCGTCTCCATGACTTGGTTCTGTTTGACCTGAAGGTGAGTGGACCTGTCCTCAGAACAAACTGTACTTAATACAGAAATTATTGTGATAAACTATAATACTGTTGGAGACCAGTTTCAACTAATATAATGGTTCAACAACCCTGTTTACAGAAGTTTACAGTGTAAAAAAAAAAACTGCGTTTCAAGAAAGAAAAACAGCAACAACTGATCACAAAACTGCTGAACCAAAGGTAGTGAGTAACTAACAGTCATAAGTACCCAAAAATAATTACTCAAGTAAAGTAAAGATACACAAAAATGTACTTAAGTCCAGTACTTAAGTAAATGTACTCCATCACTGCCCCCCACCCTGCCTCTGTCCTCCATAAACTCACTGGAGGCTGCAGCCGACCCCCTGATGGACACAAAGAGAGGCGGGGGG